TCGGCTTTGATGCATAATCTATTGATTGGTCTACCTCTGAACAAAATCACTAGTTGCAGAGAATAACACAAAGATTTTTTTTTCATCATCAGTATCACGACACATATGAAGATATTTTAACATTAACAGGCAAAGAAAAAAGTACTCTAGATAATTTAATCAATACTTTTTATTCTAACAAATGTTGAATCTTCACAATTGAAAAAATTCGAAGCATGAAAGGAAAACATATAACCATAACTATTCTACATTGCAAGTAGATGAGAATAAAATTAAAAGTTTCAAATAGATAACAGAAACAGGCATCAACTGAAACATTTAAAGAAAAAAAGTAGTCGCATGTCTGTGTAGAATATCCTATTTTGTATGAATGATAAAAACTAAGTTGCCATTTTGCTAAAAAATCAGAGCACTCTATAAAAAAATAATTCTCACATCAGATCTGTTCATGTTAACATAAGTAATCGAAATAAAGGTTCTGCATCTAAATACGCTGAATTACTTGAAAAAGAAACGAAAAAATACGAGTAAAAACTTAGTGAGTTTGTAAACGAAAGATTTCTTCTTCAAAAAATTATCATTTCTACGACGATTTACCGTTAAAACAAATGATTAAAAAATTATTTTAACGACATAGATAGTCCTTAGAGATAATCTTAAGGTTAAAACGATTATTAAAAAAGTCATTACATGATTTGTCATTCGAGCATCATTAAAATGTTTTCACAGTTTTTTTTTCTTCCATACTAAATCGTTTCCTATATAACACCTCATCTTTATTCTAAATCATCTTTTCCTGAATTTCATTTTTATGCTAATATATTCATTTTTATCTGTTCGTAAGAATTAAATTTAATCTACTAAGTCAATTTATTTTATGTTCTTAATTGACTAGTTGCTTGATTTTTATTTGCCCATTGACAAAAGCAAATTATTTCAGAATAGTAGCTGTGACAGATATACAATTCGAAGTACTACAGAGAAAAGATTAAATTTACTTTGTTACGGAGCAAATAATAGTGAGACAGCTAGTTGCTTATGAATATAAAATAGATTGAATTGGTAGACAATGTTCAATTCTTATAATGAGATCAAAATGAGTATATTAATATCAAAATGAAACCGAGGAAAACTAGAATTCCTAAATTGTTTAACGAAAGGTATCTGGAAGTCCATCGTGAATTCAACAGTATCAAATAAAATTAAATCAGCTTTAAAAAGTCTGCAAACTATTTGTGCTTATAGCGTCAAAAATAAGGAACATACTTGTTGCTAGAAAAAGAAGAACTCGAAGAAAAAATTTGCTTTGTTACTGATCGGACAAGAATTATTCAATACATTCATTGAAAAATATAAAAAGGTTAAATAATTTATTTTAGGTGAGATAACCATTAAAAAGCACATGTGGTCTTCTCAGCAGTAAATTTTCTAGAGTGTTGCCTATAAGTCAGTAAGGGTACGTGTATCTTGAATTGTTTTCTAAAGCTGAAATATATATGGTCTGTCGTATATTTTTTTGTGTTAATTTCGAATTTATATCTATTTCGATCTAAAAATAACTATGGTGAAAAAAGGATTGAAATATTAACGTATTTTTTGAATGTTTTGCATGGTTTACTCATCGAAATTAAAAGAAAAACAAGTTTCTCAATGCTGGAAAAAGATTGAAATAAATTATGTAGGTAAACTCGAAGTTCAAAATTCAACTCTGCTCAAGAAAGACTGGATAACTTTACCCGAACAAGCAATTGACACAGGCTCTGGAATGTAGATTTCCCAAAGGTGTAGAATCTAACTGCAAGCGTGAACAATCGTTCGGAATTTTTTTTGAAAAATAATGGGTGTCCTATAGTACATGTCGCATTTTTATTTTCTATCCTTAATTACTTTAACGCTTGTTCGAATTTTAGTTCTGATCTCGCTAGATAAACGAATACCTGTTTTTCTACGGATAAAAAAAGGATTTGTGTCAGCATGTACTCATTCTTAGCACTGGTCGGAGTGTTTTGCTCAGGAGGAAAAAAAACTTGCGAACTAACATCTATCTATAAAATGATTGTATCGTATTTGGTTCGATGTAATTTCTTGTGCTAATTCTGAATTTGATCTTTTTATTGAATAAAAACGTTTCTAAGTCGAAAAAGAATAGAAATTTACAGCGGAGAAAACGAAAATGTTATTTCTATTTTGTTTTCAGTTGTCACTTGAGTGGATTCTCAACATATAGATATAAGAATAATAAAAAAATATATTGAATGATAGAGAATTTGAAGCTCTATCAAAATGAAATCTAAAAACGCAACGAAAAAATGTAGATTTATCGTGTTTATCTATTAAGATTATATAAGCTACACTTCAGTATTTTTACAGCAAATATATTTAGAAAGATAGAGTTTCAAGCGTCATCAGAACATATAGTTATTTTTTTAAAAGGGAATTTTTCTATTGCAATGATAGCGACAAAATCTCGCCCATGGGCATTTGGTGATAAAGATGTCTTCGTTATAGTCGACTTATTTTCTATAGTACATAAGGTTTAACTAAAGCATGAATATGTAAGGCAATAAAAGACTCCGAGTACTTTCAAAGTATGTAATTGGTTTGTTCTTGAAAATGTGTTTTTTTATAATGACGGTGTATTCAATACAAATAATAACTATCTTGTTTTTCAGGAATATATATATATTGAAATTGCCCTAGTTCCCATTAAGAACGATATATAGAGCTCAAGTTTCTTTTTCATTTGCAACTGGACAATCTTAATATTTAAACAAAGTTTCAACTCAATATGATTTACTCGTTCTTTCACTTTGCTGCGTTAGCTTTCGAAGAAGGAAAGGTAAATTAGAAATTTCTAGGAAAAAATTATTATAGTAACTATTAGGATTACTATTATTCAGTCATCGATTCCTAAGATACTTTGTATGAACAGAAGTTTGAAGCTTTTTGCTTTTGTTTTTTTAATAATCGAAACTGCATGCCACTGATGATTGGGTGAACGTGTTCAATTGCTTAAAAATGTGGAAAATAGCAAATTATTGGTAATCATGGTGGAAATTGTTAAAGAAAACTTGGAAATTTGTGTTATTAATTAATCTTTTAACGTTAATATGCGTTGCTGCCTTTGAACACGGTAAAACTCGTAGAATTTGTCGTACAAATGGATAATTTTCTTAATCTAAGTTTATAAAGATTTGAATCGCTCATCACATTAATGTTCATGATCTCACTAAAATCTGGATGGAACCAGGTTAAATACGAGACAGAATCCGATTGACTCCAACAAATAAGGCAAAAGTATGTGCACTTTTACATATGACATGGAAATGTAGCTTATTTTTACCAAGACACTCATGAGATGATACACTCCATTGATTTATGCGAGTTTATTTCTTATAATACATTCTTCTATTCTATCTTCTTTTACCGCACAATCCAAAACGGTAGTATACGTAATAACACTTGTTCTGTCTACATGGTTTTGAGAAAAATTGACCGTTGTGTGACTACAATATATTTTTTCCAAGAGAAAAAGAAAAAATACGCTTCTAAACCAAGATAGTGTCAAGAAAATTTTGTTAGCCGTTACTCTCGAATAACCCTTATATGTACAGTCGTTGTTTGGCGAGGAAACAATCAAACCTAGATTGATGTTCTTCAGATAGTGAACGAAAACAAAAATCTTATTTATTGTCGAATGACGATATCAGTGATTCTGAGAGATGACCATACTTTTATTCACATAACTTTCACGATCATTAATCATGTTCATTTTCACCGCGGTAATCAATGATATCCTACCTTTATTTGCTGAAGTGTTGATTTCAATGGCGGATATCTAAAAGTATAAGATGTTCGACAAATATCCATTTTCTAGAGTGATTATCGTCTTACTTTGTTGGTGATGGAGCTTATTCCAGTTTTTTCCGCACTGAAGGCGGCGGCTGCTGCAGGTGGATTGCTCTATGAACGAAAAGAGATATATATGAATAAAAAAAGGCAATAAGAAATTGTTTGAATCACTTGAACTTTGCCGGAATGTTTATCTTTGTTTGTTTTGGTGATGCCAGCAGCAGTCGTTGTCAAAGCACCTACAATACAAGACTATTATTCGTTTCCTAATAGTTATTTTTTAGGGGCATTTCCTACAAAATTTAATATCCTTTTACTGTTTTGGTGGCTTATTTAAAGCAAAGACAAGTGTCATCAGCAGCAATAGAAGACAAAGGAGGTTTCTATGAGAATAAGGGTGTCTATATGAGCGAAAACTATGAGATTGCGAGTGGCTGAGTAAGGGAGTGTTTCATTTGAAGATGTCAGATTTTCGTGTTCTGTGTGACTTTATTTACTTATCTAAAATTGTAATTTTTATCTATAGGTTGATCGAAAGAAAAATCATTGTTGTAGATTTCTTACTTGAGGGAAAAAATTTACATTACATTCACTCAATTTCTACAGCGTCGCAACACTAATGCATTTGACTAAACATTTTTTCGATTTTGATCTACGTCTCCCCTTCCTGCTCTTACATGAAAACAAAAACCAAAAAGTTTAAGAATAAGAAACAGAAGTATATCCGAGAGAAAATATTTTAAGTGTTTATCATTTTCTTTCAGTCAATTTTAAGAGACGAAAATAATTTAAGAGATTTTCATCGTTTTGGAAAACAAATAAACTTAAACTAATTATTTAGATTTTACGAGAGAAAACAGAGTTCAATAGATAAATCACAAAATTGATTGAAGTTGATGAGGTTTTTAATCGATTACTGGGACAAAATCGACTTTTTATGAAAAATCATTCTTTGAAACGAAAAATCCCATTAAGTTTAATCGAAAATTATCATGAAGAATTTTTTTCTGTTTTTTTAACTGAATCGATTCTTCGTGTTCACATTTTATGATGCGTACATTAATTGAGAGATGTAATTCTTGATTTTCTCTTTGGTATCGACAATCGGACCGTTATTTATCAAGTGAAATTTTCTTTTGTTTTGATTTTCACTTACTTGTGGAAGGTGGATTAATCGACGATGGAACAATAATAGGTACTGGTTGTAACAGTGGAAATGGAGGACGAGTTTCTTCCAATTGAATAATGTGAAGATTACCTTGATTAAGACAACTGACTACTTTGAATTGAGTTGCAGCCATAAGAAGTACTTCATCTTCAACTGGATAATACGAATGCTTGCGAATATCTCTAGTCGATTGACATTGTAAGGTAAATATTGTTCTGTCACCCGTCGTCCCCAAGAATAGTTCCGATTGTAGAACACCAACAGTAGTTGTGCATGATGAGAAACCCCACCAGACGATTGTTTTTCCTTCGATGTAACGCTTGCTCAAATCTAATTTGACGCCTCTATATGCAACTTTAGGAAGCTCTGGAAGATGAAGAAGTGCGCTAAGAAAAAGTCTCATGAACAAATACCATGGCTTAAGCTTCTGTTGTCGTTCAGGTGATCGTAATATATTATTCAAAACAAAATATAGGCATTTATTGAGTGGCTCCCACCCCATCGTATACAACATGATTGAGGCCGATTGATCTTGTGTCAATCCATCGGCAGGATTCTCACATCTTTGTTTGGCAACATATGCGTGACTTTGAACAGCTGGTAATATGGAAACGAGCGGTTCAACAGCTTCTTCAAGTGAAACAACTGGCATTTCCTCGTAGCCACCGATGGGCGCAATAAATTGAAGTGGCTCCTGGGCAATGTCGGTAATGCGCAAAATGCGCTGTGCTGTTGCTTCTTCCCCTCCTCCAGTGGCCATCTTTAACAGAGAGTTCTTCACGAAATATTAAAATGATAAATATCTACAAAGGAATAGCTGACAACTTTCATAATATAGTTTTCTCTAACGCTGATCTTTTTTGTCTCATGACAATAATCAACTTTTACGGCCATTGAACTTTTATTACATTGCTTTATTCGATCTAATATATGTTTAAAGGTCTTCAATGCGCGTGTAATTAGTTTCAATATTTATACAAAGATATTTTCTCATGATACTATCAAAATAATTTTAAGTTTTGATACTGAATTGTTAATATGATAGAGCTTTATTAAATACTGAATATACACTATTTCCTTATCTATCACTTCTTCGTTGTCTCATTTTACATCAGTTTTCTAAAAATAAATTTCATCAAAGTATAACTGTTTACTGGTCGCTTTTTTCTATTACAATTTTTTTAGAAAAAACCTGTTGAACACTGATGGTACGAGCTTCGCAGGTATTACATAGCTGTGTTCCCGAATAAATATAGAGAACAATGGATAGAAATACATCGATAGGTTTAGCTAGAAAAAAAACATTTGTTCAAGCATTAATTTTATGACGAATGATTTACTGTTAGTTGTTTATCTATTAAAAAATGCTTCCAAGACTTCGGTACAAGTTGATCATCATGATTAAAAGTGTAATAGTTCCGTGTTCCAACTCAAAAACTGTTATTATTACAAGAGACCATAAGACTATGTCATTTCTGTTCATTTCAGTCAAATAAATATAGGTTTGGAGTTGTTATCCGTAAAAAAAACAATTACCTCCGATGCTTTACTACTTTCGTTTTTAAAAGTCCCGAGTAAGCCAACGAAGTATTCTATGTGTCTTACTCGACATGTTTTTGTCGTTGTTAAAAAGATGTCATTATTTATATATATTCCATTGAATGAGAGACAATTAAGAAAGAATTCTTCTTGCTCTTTTCGTTTCAATAAAAGATCCCAAAATCTCTTTAGGCTATCTTCATCCTAAAACATCTTTTCAAGTGATCGTTAATGATGATGGCACATACAACAGAGATCATCTTTTGTTAGCTTCATTGACATTTCTATTCATTCGTCTATGCTAATTAACTGTCAAAAACGGTTTTAAAAAATGTTAATTTCGAACAACTCTTTCTAGTGAAGTTAGACTTCTGGTGTTGCTCTCAGCCTTTTTTTTGCGAATATGTGCATAAAAAATAACAATAGAATAAATTATAGTGTGTTATGAATCAGGAGAAAATATTGTTTTATACAGAATGAAAACATCTATCCATTAAATTTAATTATTCTACCACAAAATCAAAAATTAACATTGCTTGGAAATAGTTTTTTTTGAGCAAATTATAGCCAGATGCAAATCGATTACCATGCGACAAAAAAGTTTGTTGTTCATCGATTTTAACTTTGACTTTTCAGTATGATAAGATGGTCGATAGTCTTACGTTATATGAAACTTTATTCGTTAAATAGAACTTATTACGACTAGATAAAATCTAGAATAAATCGTGCCCGTCCATCATCCTTCTCGAGTTTAATCCAATTTACCAAGTTTTTGATTTATATTGAGGTATTCGATAGAATAGAGAATTGCAATATTAGCTACACTAAAATAAGAAATCGATGGAATTCAACTGGAAATCTGTTGAGGGATAATTTGACCGACCTATTGAGTATCTGTCTTTTACAAACCCTCAATCGTTATGTTTTGTTCACAACTAATTGAAGAAGATGTGATTAGTTTGCTACATTTTTCTTGTGATGATCAAATTGTACTCTGTTACATAGAAACTAAGCACATGTAATTAAATGGCAAGTAAAAGTAAATTCCATTCGATAGAGTTTAGCAGAAAAAAATATGCGTTCTTAATTAAAAACTAACAACTATGCATGGCTCTCCTTATTAGATGACTAATATGAAGTCAAAATTTCTAGTTGGATCATATTAGTGGCATTCAGCGCATTTCATGAATTTAGTTTGCGTTCTTTTGGTTTCAATGATAAAAGAAAAAAAATGATAGCAGTAGAATTGAAATTCTGTTTTTGTTTCGCAAACTATTTAGTTTTCTTACACAATAAATAATCATATTTATCGAAATGATAGATCATAAAGGGTACAACACTTGTTTTTTGATTTTCTACTTGCAACTTGATGTTTTCCCACTATTCAAATATTTTCTGTTTGATTTAGATACAAGCTTTTAGCTGATTGCTCCATGGTTTTAGGCTATGATCTTGTTTCAAACACTACTTGTGGCAAAATTTCATTAAAAAAGAATGTTGATATTATGAATTGAGAGTCGTCGTGAAAGTCTTTGTTTCATGCTTCGTATAATGTTAGTCGATCTGACAGCTTTGCTTCAATAATGTAAAAAGAAAGCCGTGTAATATTTTTAATTTCTATACATTCGAAGCAAAAACAATCGAATTTTCGTAAGTTCATTCCTTTGACCAGCTCTCAAAGAATTATAACCAAAAACAATTATGTCAATCATTGTTCCACATAATATAAAAATACAAAACAAGAACTCCTATTTTTGTACAATTTTTTTGGAAAATAATTGTACATATGCTCATCTTCAATCTCATTTAAATTCCCTCTTGTTTATACAAGATTAGAAAGATTGTAGTAGTTCTACGACTTTATGTCTCAAACTCATAGAATCTCTAACTTCTATGGCGAATCTTTTTTAAGAATAAAAAAAATAGACTAGATGGGTGAGTTTTAGAGATGTCTATCAAGCTTAAAAAACTATCACTGTCACAATACAAGTCAACAACATGTTTCGAAAATCATTGACATCAATGTACTGGAAAAGCACTGTTGATACTAAACTATAATATTCATTCAATTTGAGAGTTTAAAATTTTTTAGTCGTGAAACCCCGACTCAACTCATTTAGATGACTTGCATCTTCAAGAACCCAATGAATATTCGACATATGAATATTTTGAAGTACTAAAACACTCTTGATTTTTCAATTCTAAAGAAAACAGTACGATACTTAACAAACTTCTCTGAATTCGAAAGTCCTCGAATTGACAGAACTCAAAAATCTATTAGAAAACAAACATTGTAATACTACTGACTGTCTGATCTCGGAATACCCGCAAAAATTAAATAATCGAAGAAATTCACACAGCTCTTTCTATTCTAGAAACTTGCAAAATATATGGTTTTCAATGCACTCATTGTGACAACTACTTATTTTTAATAATTGAATTACACTATAAAAGAAATTTCCCATTATGAAAAGTTTATAACTTCTGCGAAACAAAAAGTGATCAACACTTGCTCACAATTTCATCCATATTTACAATATTAAAGGACTTCATGTGAGTTTATCAATGTATCGTTCATTCGTAACTTTGCAGACATTCTACTTATGATGTCCATTGACGTATATTACTATAGAGGAACATTCTCTACGACATAAATACACTTTGGAACTCTATAAAAAACGTTGTAGCTTTTCTCAGCTCTGGCAATATTCTGGAAATCTGTTGAGATGTGACAGTTCTTATTCCCTAATCCTTTTTTTTTCATATACTAGTTAGAATTTACTGTGAAAAAAGTTTAGGAGGATATGTTTTTTCTGAACGTATGCAAATAAAAACCTATTTGTAAGCTATTTAAAATAAAAAATTATCAACAATTCTATTGTCTACTTCAACTCAATTTTGACCTGTTTGATTCTTGTTATCACGTCAAGATGGTCGAAAGAGTCTGTGATATATGTACTTTCACGACTGAAAATACCACGCGATTTAGAATCAAGTAATGCTTAATCGACGTATAAAAGATGTTCATTAAGTTTTGATCAGTATGAAGTGTTACTTTTTTTTACACGGTTCATCAATGAAAAAAAACTAATATTAACTCATATTATTACAAAGATAAAAGAATGTCACCATTTTACAGATAATTTTTAATTGTAGACATCTTCAAAACTTTGAACATTCGTAAAAGTTCGGTTGAAGTTATGTTTTCTTTTGAAACACAACGATCGCAAGCAGCAATTCGAGGCTGCTTGACTAAATAAGAATGGAATTAGAAATTCAGTACTGTTCCGAAATAGGCTGGTTTCTCTTTTACTCTTCAACAGGTTTTTTTACACGAAATTCAACAATTACATTTAAGTTCTTTGCTTTTGACATCTTCGACATAGATTTCTTTGAAAGTCTCTATATTTATATTTCAGCTTTTAGAAGTAAGGACCTTGCAAATGATTGATGAATTCAAGAAAAAACCTATTGGAGACTAAAAGAGAGACTAACCAATTTCAGAATAGTATCGGATTTGTAATTCCATTTTTATTCAGTCCTTACGATCATAGTTTTTCGAAAAAAGATTTATATTCAACCGAAAATTTTCAAATTCTGGTATATGACATGTAGAGATATTGCCTATATATATATAGTGTTAATATCAGTCATTTCTATTAATAAATCACAAAAAAGTACTACTTTTCATACAAGTCAAAACGTAGTGAACACCTTTTATATGTTCGTGGTATGCATGCTAATTGATTCATAGGTCAGCAAATTTGTTCATCGATACTTTTTGACATGTCTAAGATCAAGTAAAATATTGATAAACAAATCACTACAGCAGAAAAAAATTCGAAATAGAAGAAAAGTAGAATTTAAGCAAGTTGACTAACAATGTTAAGCTAGTAAGTTGTTTACATATTCGATTGGCTCAACAACTATATCATAGTACAAGATACAAATTATAGGTTCTATGAGACAATCCATATAGTTTTGACAGTACCAATATAATTGTGTTCGAGGCAGTAAAAGCACATACATATATGAGTACGTGATACTTTTACATGTCAACACTTCTGTGAATAGAAAGTGAGAATATTTCTAGAAAAGAAATTATTTATAAGAATTCAAAATATTGTCTAGAAGTGACTCGAAATGATTTCACAATGATAAATTGAATACGTTTTCTTATTTAATCCAACATATTACTCAAAGACATATTTCTATGAAGCG